GCCACAACGCCCGGCCATTTTTTGGTTGCAGCTGTCATTGTTGTTTGGCGGGCCTGGGCTGGGGGTTCGAACCCGCCACCTTAGGTGTATCTGGCTGGTGCCTTAGCCGTTTGAGCCACAGGCGCCGAGCCGGCATTCCTTTTTCTATTTTGTTTTTAAGAGACGGGGTCTTGCTCTGTTGCCCAGGCTGGAATACAGTGGTACAGTCGTACAGTGGTACAGTGGAACTGCCGCCTCCAGTTCCTTGGCTCAAGAGATCCTCCTGTCTCAGCCTCTTGAATCTCTGGGGTTATACAGACTTGAGCCTCCATGCCCTACAGTGGTCACTCTTGAGGGGTTCCAGCCGAAGTCAGAGGAGACTGGCCCTGGTCCCAGCTTTCCTGGACAGTAAGAGGTCAAAGACTGAAAATAAAAGATTATTCTGAAACAAAACGAAAGGAAACGGAGTATAAGTTCTGTGTGGACAATGTTGGCCTTTATTTCCATGTGGGTGTGGGTGAGCTGAACTCGAGAAGGAAGTCGGCATGTGGGTTAAGGTGGATGGGGATTTGGGCCAGGCCAAGTGGCTCATGCCTGTAATCCCAGCACTCTGGGAGGCTAAAGTGGGTGGATAGTCTGAGCTTACAGCTTCGAGACCAGCCTGAGCCAGAGTGAGACCTCATCTCTAAAAAAAGTAGTCATTGTGGTAGGCACCTATAGTCCCAGCTACTCTGGAGGCTAAGGCAAGAGCATCCCTTAAGCCCAAGAGTTTGAGGTTGCTGTAAGCTGTGACATGACAGCACTCTACTGCAGGCAACAAAGTGAGACTCTGCCTTAGAAAATAAAATAAAATAAAGGGTCGGAAGGGTAAGGCTTGGTATATTCCCTTTTTCCTGGGTGGGACATTGTATTTGGGTGGGTTCTTTCATTTGGCTATGTCAGACAGTTCCTCCCCCAGAGGCAGCTGGCAGACACCAGACTGACAGCCATCTTGCTGAGCTGGCTGGGGCTGAGCTGACCCAACAGCTGAACCCATATTCTGTTGGGAGACCTAAGACTGATATTCTTCTGTAACCAAGAGAGGGGTGGGGGTGTCCAGGTCTTTCCCAGACACAGTATTTGCTATCCATGTGGCTGTCATCCAGTCACCTGAGGTTGCACCTTTGAGGTGGGGATCTGGGGAGTCCAAACTTCTTGGGTGCCAACCCTGACATGTGGTTGACGTGGGCAAGTCATTTCAGTTCTCAGGGTCTATTCCCAGTCTTATAATGAGAAAAGTAATGTGTACTTAACAGGGTACTTTGAAGGGTTGTCCCAGCCAGGGTTTCAAGAAACATTGGCACACACAAGATAAGTCAAAGTAGATTTAGATACCACAAAGGATGCACAGATGATTCAGCGGGGCATAGAGAACACACCAGCCAAGGAGAGTGCAGGCTGCAGATTTTGCAGCACCTTTGCTGTTAGAACCTTACCAGGTCCATTGCTCATAGCTCAAGAGGACGCCAATTCATTGGGACCGCGAGGGTTATAGCAGAGAAAGAGTTTACTATCACAGGGCACCATGCAGGGAGACATGAGGAAGTTTTCAAATCTATCTCAATGAGAATTTGGGATAAAGACAGTTTGGCAGGCAAAGGGCTAGCCAGCTGGGTCTGCTGATGGGCTGGGTTCAAGGCAGAACCACAAGTGTATGGAAATGAACTTTTTTTTTTTTGAGACAGAGTCTCACTATGTTGCCCTCAGGAGAGTGCTATGGCATCATAGCTCACAGCAACCTCAAACTCTCGGGCTCAAGCAATTCTCTTGCCTCGGCCTCCCAAGTAGCTGGGACTACAGGCGCACGCCACAACGCCCGGCTATTTTTTTTGTTGAAGTTGTCATTGTTTAGCTGGCCTGGGCCCGGTTTGAACCCACCAGCCTTGGTGTATGTGGCCGGTGTCATAATCACTGTGCTACAGGCACCGAGCTGTGGAAATGGACTTCTTGTGCCAAGTCAGTTTCCGGTGTGAGATAGGTTGAGCAATCCACTGGAATGCAGAGAGCAGAAAATACCTCGGAAAGTAGCTTTAGGCTTTACAGGGTAATGTTATCTGTGGGAGTAACTAAGAAAGTTCAGAATCTTCATGACCATCAGCTGTGTGGCTCCTGAGCAGCTATGCTAGGAAAGCAAAGTAGGGAACAATGTCTGGTTATACAGTCACATGCTCTGCCACAGTTCCCACCTTGTGGCCCTTTATTAATTTTATAAAGGACAGTTTCAGAACCCCAAAGGGAAAGAAAGAGCCATGTGATCAAGGGCCCCTGGAGAGGAGGGTCCCAGCCAGCCGGAGGTGCATAGACGCTCCACCCTCCCTCTCCCACCTCCTCTGATGTCCTGCTGGTGTTCCCTGCTGGCCCAGTCCAACAGGAAGCCGGTCAGCCAGGGCACCCCTGATGTGGGCTGTAGAGGTGGCTTCCTGGGACAAAAGCAGGGTAGGAAGGGGTGGCAGTGGATTCTGAGAGTGCAATGTAATAAGAAACGTATTGGATCTTTAAGCTTAGGCACAGAGCTCCTGAAACCCTTAGGATTTCCTGGTGGGAACACCTCTCGTTATTTGCAATGGGACCCTTTTGGTTAGACCTGAGTTTATCTTAATGAAGTAAGCTATGATGGGGTCACTAGATAACCTCAGGATGGAGCTGGTCACCAGAAAGGCCCAAGTAATCAGAGGATCAGAACCTTCTACTCCACTTGCTGACCTCTGGGAAGGGGAGGAATGCTGAAAATCTTAACTGACTGGATCTGATGGGGTTTTGTGTTTGTGAGTGCACTGAGGCTCTGAGAAGGTGGCTCTCCTGCAGAGGGCATAAGCTCCGTGCATGAACTCCCCAGGGCCTTGCCTTAGGTGTTCTTTCATCTGGCTGTTACTGAGTTGTATCCTTTTCTTTTTCTTTCTTTCTTTTTTTTTTCTTTTTGAGACAGAGCCTCAAGCTGTCCCCCTGGGTAGAGTGCTGTGGCATCCCAGCTCACAGCAACCTCCAACTCCTGGGCTCAAGTGAGTCTCCTG